GCTTCTTTGGTTGTACTTATCATTTTCATGATATGTGTTATTTTTATCTATTTGATTTCCCCCACATCAGTTCCAAATAATGAAGAATGTCTATCTCTTATCTAAGACTCTCCAACACACTTAGCTCAGTACCTGTCACATAATACATGCTGAGCTCCTATCAAAGACTCAATGTCTCTTCTCTGGCTTAACACCCCACACTGAAGAATGAAACACTTAACCTGACTCCCTATTAACAGCTCCCAGTTCTCAGAGTTGTCACTGCGCTCCTTAAAGACAACAGCGTTTACTGTAGTGATAGGTTGACACAATCTGCAGTTTGAAAATCGATACTTTGATTAAAAAAATTATATGCTTGGTATAATTGAGACACATTTAATTACAAAAATAAGGATTATGTTTTCTTCTTAGATAGTATAAAATTCCCAGTAACATTAATTACTTGAAAAGAAAAAATTTCCTTTGCTTCTTAAAACTGAAGACATTTAACCTACAGTAATATAGCCCAGCATCAAACAAATAATATATTAGCATATACCACTAAAACACCAACCTGGGGAATATGCTGGGTGTTTTCCCCCAACAATTTGTATCAGAACTAAGGAGAACAAGATTAATTTATCCTTTTACGTTCATCATATGTTTTTGCATTTCAATTAATATATACTATCCTTGGGCACAAGTTTTTAAAGTAGCCATAAAATTTAAAAGTCAATTACTTGTGATAAATGTGGTCAGGATTAATACATCTCTTTAAAAGCTTTAGGTACTTTTTTTTGCTTTTCCTGGTTTAATGACAGCAGAAAAAAATGTTTAAACTCTATAGAATTCAGCAAACTTGCATATATTAATTGGCATTAATGCAGCAGTCTGTCAATGTCTGCTGCGTGAACATACTGCAGACTCTTTCAAACCTCCACCTGCCCATCCAAAATATGGCCCTGAGAATTCAGCCTGACATCCCAGCCCTCCCCAGTTCAGCCCACACCATGACCAACACCTCTCTATCAGTGAAGAGTTCAAAGAATAGTTCATTTACCTTCTCCTAAAAACTACATAAAGAATTACAGCAGAATCAAATGAAAAGTGGATTGGAATACGATTCACAAGGCAGGAAGAAAAATACTAAAGGAAATGACAAGTTGTAAAACTAGCAAAACTTATACAGGCTAAAACAACTAAACAATGAGTAAGTTATGGACTATAAGTTCTAGAATAAAGTATTTATATTTTTTAAAAGTACTACAAGAGAAAAATCTGGATCTTCCATTCCAAATTATTTAATAAAACCAGACTGAGGAAAGGGGTAGTGTGATGCAGCAATGTCCTATCCGCTATTATTTTATTGCAGCGAAAAGTACAGGATTAAACCTCTGATCAATCCAGCCAAACCATTAGGACTCAATAATATAAGGACAATAATAAAAATCTGATGTAACCACATCATAATCCTAATTTCATTTTGTGTGTACTTGATGCATAATAAAATTCCTGTGGAAGTGAGAGATGTGCAAAAATTCAAATGGCCTAGAAACTTCTGAAAAGAATAAATGGAGAGAACTGCCCTGCAAGATGCCAAACCTCACTAATAAACCTACCTTATTTAAAATAGAAAAGTACTGACACAGTAGTAAACAGATCAAAAGAACACAGAAACATATTCAATTACCTCTGATAATTCAGTTACAAAAAAGGTAGGGAGCAGGTTAAATTGGAAAATAATGAATTATCAAAAGAATGTTACAGGCAATTAAAAGTAATTACATGCTTATATCTTACTATATCACATACCATCACAAGGAATCATATTTTACATCATATATAGCAATTTTAGAAACTCTTGCCTGATACAGGAAATCAAGTATATGTTGAACATATACTCTCAAGAGATTTCAAATGTATTAAAACCTAAACAAAGAGCAATACACTAGGTTAAACATATAAAAATTGCCATTTTAGTCAGCTGAAAATGATAAAATGTTGGCAACTTAGTATAGGTCAAACTAATAAAAAGTTCTGGGAATACAGTTTCCCTTGCACCTCATAAAAATACAGAGCAACTAGGACAGCAAAACCAGCTACAGAACACTAGGTGGCAAGGGGTATTCACAAACCCAACAAGAAAAGGGAAACTGAACAGTTCTATAACATAAATGGAAAAGCACTGTGCAGGGGAAGCATAGGAATTCATAGGCTGTCTAATGTGTGGAAAGGGGTAAATCTCAAAATCATCAATACATATTGAAAAGAAAGCTCACTGCATTTGCCTGAGAACATCAGTGAGATTGGGAGTGGTTTGGGCACAAGTTCATGAGTGATGTCAAAGGGCTGGCAGTAAGGTCAAAGGGGCTGGAGTGGTTTAGGCTCACAAACGCTTAAGTCTAGCACCCCAAATTTCCTGTCAGGGCAAAACTTCATACCAAGAAAGAAAACTGCCAGAGTGAAATCCAACTGACCAATAAAAGAAAAGAGAATTAAACAGAAGAGAGTCCAAACCGGGAGACTGCACATTTCTCCGCACCTCAGAGAGGAACCTCAAAGTCATAATCTATATGCTTGCCTAACTCCTTCTCTCCTTAAGTTAATGAACACAAGTATCATGTTTTAAAATGAGCAACAAGAAAGACAGTGGTAGACTCTAACACAGGGTTATTATAAGCAAAGAGAGAAGAGCGAGTAGAATGACTCCACAGACAATGAAAGTAGGCAAGATATGTCTGCTGGTCAGATGGGAATTGTAGTCCAGGTTTTAAAGAGCTAAAAGATATTAAGAAAATCACAGAAAATACAAAAGAACAACAGGAAGTAACAACTTTTTAAAAATTTTAAATGATTTCAAAAATAAACCAGAAGAAACACAAAAGCAAATAAACAGAATAGACAATGCTTTCACAGAAATATAAAGTTAAAAGGAAGAATATTTTATTAATCAAAATGAAACGATATAACGAGAAGAAAAAGATCTGAAAGGAAGTGACACAGAAGATAGGCAAAGTACATACAAAATACAGTGGACCCTTGACTTAGGAACTCGATCAGTTCCCAAGGGCTGGTTGTAACTAAGTCAACAGAGCTGAGATCTGGATGTTTACCTAGGTACACACTCTAGATAACAAGAGGCACATACATGAACCTTACATTAACCTAATTAACCCAAGTTGCTCGTATGTCAGGCCAGTTGTAACTTGAGGGTCTACTGTACATAAGTGATGGTTCCAAAAGAAAATCAAACTAATAAAACTCAAAAACTTAAAACTATTAAGAAAGTTAATTGAAAGTTTAAAAAAAGGCTGACAGAAACCAAACCAAACCCAGAACTACATATGAAAGTGCACACTGTGTATTAAAAAAATAACAAACTGGAAAAAAATACCACAGAAGAGTAGCAGAGTTTAAAGAAAATGAACAATCTTTTAGGTATTCAGCAAACCAAGGATCTTATAAGTAGAAACAAAAAATTGCATTGGCAGACTCCAACCTAATATTTCAGGATAAAAATAATGAATAATAAATTAATACAAGAAAAGAAAGCACAAGACAAAGATTTTATGGCTAGCCAAATAAATTTTCAAGTAAAAATGTGAACTGCTATGTATATCCAAGAAGTCAGGGAATGAGACCTCACTAAGGAATCTATTAGGGGATAAGTGTCACACAAAAATGACTCAAGATTGGAATACAGAATTAAATGAGCCTTTTAACAAAAATTAAAAACCTATTATTTTTATCTCTATATAAATCTTTACCCAAACACACACACACACACACACACACACACACACACGCACACATGCACACACACTGCTGTAGAACCAAGACTGAATGATCAAAGTAGGGAAGACAATACTGCCAGTAATAGCTATATAAGCCAGTATAGGGGTGCAAACTTGTAATCCTAGCACTCCGGGAAACTGAGACACGAGGACTGCAAGTTCAAGTGCAACCTGGGCAATTTAGAGACTTAGCAAGACCCTGCCTCAAAATAAAAATAAAAAGGGGCTGGGGATGTATCTCTGTATAAAGGCCCTGGATTCAATTCCCAGTATAAAACAGAATGATGATGATGATGATGATGATGAGATGACTATATGATCTGACACTATAACAACTATAAAAATCTAAGAAGAAGCCAGGCACTGTGGTAGTCACCTGTAATCCCAGCTACTCTGGCTAAAGCAAAAGGATCACAAGTTTGAGGTCAGCCTGGGCAATACAGCAAGATGCTGACTCAAGACAAGAGAAAAAGAATCTGCAACAAAAGGGTTGGCACAACTTAGTATTTCATTGGAAGTAAAAGAAAATCACTTAAAATGAGTA